TTTGCGTTCGTGCGCACTCGGTGTACTTTTGTCTAGCCTATGACTTTGGGTTTTCTTGTGTGCCTTCCTCTTTTGGCTTGGCTTCCGATCCGAGTTGTTATGTAGATCGCGTGTTCTTCTTGCTTAAATCAGATCCGAGTACTCGGACTCCCTACCGAGTAGTCGGTCTTGGCTTGCTTGTTATCCGGCTTGATGTATGGTTGGACATCTCGTGTGTTCAAGTAGTTGGACACTCGAACGGGATGAGTTGCTATCTTTGGTCTCGGACGGCTTCTTGCTCGTGGCTTGGTTCGATTTGGCTTTGATATTTCAGAGTTGTAGATGTGATGACAGCCTCAGTATATGACTTGACGTGTGCTTGCACCTTGTTGGATCGTTCAGATCCCATCATGATTTATGTGTCCAATAAATTGATGGCTTCCTCATTTGCATGCATGCAGATCCGTATGTGCATGTGTATTCAAAGTGTATATATGCATATATCTTAATCTTTTGCTCGCTATTGCTTCCCGGACGTCATATGTGCATGTCGTGGTTGTACTCACGCCTCGTAAACAACTCGTGCGTTATCCTCGACGAAGTCCTCGATTTGTCGAGTACTTTTCTTTTCTTCCTCTTTTGTGATCCGTCGAAAGTGCTTTGTCCGCGCTATGACTTGTTAGATGTAGATCTTTGTGTTGACAACCTCTCATCTGCGCTTATGTAAACGCGACTTCGGCATAGAATGTTGCCTTGACAAACTTCGCATCCGAAAGTGCTTTCTTGAGTGGTGCTTGTGCTTTTCCGAGGAAAAAGTATTCCTATCTGGATGTAGCCCCGAGCCTCTTGCTTTTCGAACTAAGAGTGGAGGGTCTTTTTGAAGTTCAATTTGGTCGACCGGTTTTAGGTGTTAGCTTTTAGCTACCCTCATCGGGCGGGCTCAAGCGTGTTTTCAGCTATTTTGCTCTCGGCCGGGATGCTCGGGCATGTTTTCAAACCATTTTGCTTTTTGTTTCGGTGTTAGCTTTTAGCTACCCTCATCGGGCGGCTCAAGCGCCTTTTTAGCTATTTTGTTTCTAACCGGGATGCTCGGGCATGTTTTTAGCCATTTTGCTTTTTGTTTGGTGTTAGCTTTTAGCTACCCTCATCAGCGGGCTCAAGCGTCTTTTGACTATTTTGCTCTACCGGGATGCTCGTGCATGTTTTCACCATTTTGCTTTTTATTTTGGGTGTTAGCTTTTAGCTACCCTCATCGGCATGGGCTCAAGCGCCTTTTTTCACTATTTTGCTCTCTACCGGGATGCTCGTGCATGTTTTCAACCATTTTGCTTTTTGTTTTGGTGTTAGCTTTTAGCTACCCTCATCGGTGGGCTCAAGCGTCTTTTCACTATTTTGCTCTCTACCGGGATGCTCGTGCATGTTTTCACCATTTTGCTTTTTGTTTGGTGTTAGCTTTTAGCTACCCTCATGGGTCGACAACTTGCTTGATGTAGTTGAACAAAGATGATGAAGTCGTCGGACACTTTTGTCCGAGTTGTTTGGTTGATGAGTTTAACTAGATGAGTGATTGTCATGTCGAGTACTCGAAACAACTCGAACGTGTTGCCGGGTTCCCGTAATTTGGTTGCTTGCTCGTGACTTGTCGGCTTGTCAGTAGGTGGCCTTCTCTTTATTGACCGTATAGCTTGTATTTCTTGACCTTCTCTCGTATGAGCATGTCGTATGTATAAATCAATGCACAAACACCTTTGGCTTTGCTTGCTTGCTTCCTTTGTTAGCTTCTTGCATGTCCGTGATGTATTCAGATATCGGAAGTTGTAGCGAAAGACAATTTGTTTTCGGATCGAGTCATCGGACGGATCGCCGCTTCGTGCTTGGACTACTTCCGCGCTTGATGTAGTTGAGTTCTTTTGGTACGACGTCAGAACCTCGATATTCTCTCTGCTCGCACCGATTCGGTACTTGTCTTGGATAGAATTGGCTCTAGACTTGTACGAACTTTCGTTGCTTGTTCGAGTAGGAGTAGGACTTGTTTCTAGGTTGGACTTGAATCCGCGTGAAGATGAGTGTATATGTGTATGTCGTATGGATGGTGACGTGTGATGTAATTCCTTTGGTAGAATACTTGCTTGCCGTGGTGGTGCTTTCTTGCTTGCATGCTTCCTTCCTTCTCTTGCTCGTGGCTTCAAAGCAATTTGAAACGTACACGTGATCTGCGATTGTATATGGTCTTGGACTCTTGGTGGTCGATCCGAAAAGTGCGGCTCAAAACTATTTCCATAATTGACGCTTGCTAATCCCTTTTGGTTTGTACGGTGACTTGGTTGACTTTTGCAGAAATCCTTGTTTCGCGTGTTGCAAGCTTGTTGCTCGTAGCCTTACAAAGGTTTGCGTGCTTGCCTTGACAGTTCTCGTATGGTGCCACATCTATCTGTGGTCGTTGAGGCCGAGAACCCCGTGATCCGGTGTTGATCGGAGTAGGACCGGTCGACTTTCTTCTTCGAACGATGGTGATGATGAGTGTGAACACGGCAAGTTGTTGACAAGATCGACTAGAGCTGCGGCGAGTTGTCGACGGGAGCCGACGAAAGTCGCGGCATGTCTTGATCTTAAGGTCCACCGAGCTCTTGAACGCAAAGCGCCGAGAACCCCTACCTGGCGCGCCAGCTGTCGATGTTTTACCACCGGCAACCCGTCACGGGGTACCCGGGACGGTGATTTGTTCGGAGGGGTATCGGCATTTGCAGGAACTCGATGGTAAACGCAGGGAGACAACGATTTATACTGGTTCGGCACGCCGGAAAGTCACGGCGCCCTACGTCCAGTGTGGGGTGGATAGTATATTGCGCCCTGCGCTATTTGTTGTGGTGTTGCAAGGTCTGTCGGTTATGTCTGTCGCTCATGTGTGTGTGTTAGCTGCCGATCTAGGGACCCCTGCCCTCCTTTATATAGTTCAGGAGAGGCGGGAGTCCTAGTCGGTTACAAAGTAGAGATTCTAGTAGGATTACGTGTAACTAGTCCTAATAGGATTACATGTAGGGAATCCTAGTTGGACTATGTCTTCTTCTCTCTTCTCCGTACGAAACCCCATGGGTCCCGTATCGACAGGGAGGAGAGGATCGGAGGAGAGGAAGAGAGTGGCTGCCGGTTGAGGGAGGAGTGGTGGAGAGAGAGAGAGGTGGAGTGAAAACCCTAAAACCCCCGTATATATAAGCCTGATAAATCAGAATTGGATACGGGCCTCGCTGGTGTGCCTATTGGGCCGTGGCTTTTTCGTGGCGGGCCTTATAATGTGTCCGCCACGGAAAATCGATTTACCGTGGCGGGCACCTTAAGACGGCCGCCACGGTTAATAGGGTATTTTCTGTGGCGGGCATCTTAATATGCCCGCCATGGTAAATCGTTTTACCGTGGCGGGCAAAAATGCCCGCTACGGAAAATAAAAAGTGCCCGCCGCGGTAAATCGTGGGATTTACCGTGACGGACAAAAATAGCAGCCCACCACGGAGACCTTCGGGATGACGCTGCGCAAATTGAATTTTGTAGTAGTGATATAAATTATAATTAAGTTTAGCATAACTAGACAGAGAAGGATCCCAGGCGGCCGAGGGGACGGCGGCGCGGGCCAGGGGCGAGCTGCAGCCCCCTGGCTGACAGAGGCAGCGTGGTGGCGGAGGCGGATGCGGCGTGGTGGCACGGGTGCACATCGAGGCGTCGCGGCCACGCCATCATCGGCACTGGCAGCCTCGGAACCCGCCAACTCCATCGTGGGCGCGCATCCGGAGCGGGGGGCGTCGGTAGTAGAGGCCGCGTCCCTAGATCCCGCGCGAGGGAGAAGTGGAGAGGGGTCGGCGGGCGCAGCGGGGAGAGGAGGCACCGCCACGGCCGACGGCGGGGAAGGCGCCGCCAGGTGCGGCTCGCCGCACGCCCCAGCCCCGTGGACCGCGTGAGGAAGAGAAGGATAGGGGGCGGAGGAAGCAAAGGAGGAAGGGGAGGGGAGGGGGAGGGGGAGGGCGGTGGCCTGAAGGGGCCCGCCAGTGGCGGCTAGGGTTTCAGGGCTGGGTCGCTCCGCTGCGGGCCTAGCCGAACATGTGAGCTTCTATTTCAGGTATGTCGCACTAGCTACTGTGAAACAGTTGAATTACTAATATAGCTAAATTGATTAAGTTATGGTCCATTGAAGGAAGCTCAAATTTTTTATAGTTGTTTTTAGTGTAAATTAGCAGATAAGATATAGTTGTGTGTTGCGCGGGACATATAGCTTGTACCATCTATTTCAATATGTCTTGGAATAGAACTCTTACCGTGGCTAGGCACACACAATTTTTCGCTATCCGCAACAAAAGCTGCAAACTTGTTCATGAACCATGAGATTGTCGCAGGAGTTCTGATTTTTTAACTTGCCATGCCTCTCTCATCTTGTGATTGGCACCCAGGTTTTCCACTATGGAAGATTTGAGGGCACGGAACAAGGATGTGGGATTGGATTTAAAGAGGAGGAAACCGTTAGCTTGGAGGTCGACGCAGAACGGCGCAGCTTTAATTCAAGGTGATGCTATCTGAATGGTTCTGTTGTGTATATAAGCTTTCCTTTGTGTACTTGAGGCCTTCCCATTTACTTATTAGAAGAGCTTTGAGTCTTTAAGGACACCCATGTATCAAGTTGTATTTACAAATTGCAATCAAATTAACTAGTTAAGCTGCTTGAAGCTAACATTATTTCATAGCTGACATCCTGGCCAGATGATCCATACTTGTATTTCCACAAGGAATGCCTATAGAAGTAAGAAGTGATGTATTCAGCTCATAGATGCTCAGTGTAATAAGCAGTTTCAGCATTTCATCACCCAGTTTCTGTCTGCTCGTTGTCATTTCATTATTTCTGAATGTCTAAGCTTTACTTCTCATTATGCTATCTTTGTAATGTTACAGGCTTCATTCTGCTGGGCATTTGTTGGACATCTGTGTCCACAATGTAGGCCTCTTTCATCTGCAACCTGGGAAAGGCTACCATTTTCCTGATGGGTATGATTACTTATTTTTTAGTGCTTTTATTCTTTTGTTCTTTGTATTACTAGCATTTGGGTCCAGCTGTTTAAACTAACTGCTGGCATTTATGCCAGTTTAGTTGGATTCCGGTTGTTTTCAGAGTATGTTTTCTAGTGTAATTTGTTGTAGTCAATGCCATTTGGTATCTGACTTGCAGTCATTCTTTGTGATTGTGTGTCTCAAAACATGGCAGAATACAAGGGGGAACGGATCTTGCAACACGGTTGCTTAATTATGAGTTTCCAGTTACTATATGCCCGTTTACATGTTCTGATTGTTCTAATGATCATGACTAAAAAAACTGATGATTGTTTTTTCTTAGCTAGTTAGCCAGCTAGGTGTAATTTGTTTTCTGAATATAGTCTTTTGTTTTTTCTTAGCTAGCTAGCCAGCTAGTGTAATTTGTTTTCTGAATACAGTCTTACTATTATTATTGGAGTTCACTTGATTGGCCTTTCTGCTAGTGGCATCTTGACTGAAAACTGATGTGAATTTTTTATTAGTTATAGGTAGTCTCTGGATTATTATATTGCACTTGATTGATCAAAGTTTTATAAAACTGATGGATGATTTCTGTTACATTTCAAATTATATGGTATTGGAATGCATATCTGACATGATTGCATTTGTATGCAGATGTCAAGCGTCTCATCGGCAGGAGGTTCTCTGATGCCTCTGTCCAGAGCGATATCAAGCTGTGGCCCTTCAAGGTCATTTCTGGGCCTGGTGAGAAGCCAATGATTGTTGTCCAGCACAAGGGTGAAGAGAAGCAGTTTGCAGCTGAAGAGATCTCCTCTATGGTTCTCATCAAGATGCGTGAGATCGCTGAAGCTTACCTTGGCAGCACCATCAAGAATGCTGTTGTGACAGTCCCTGCCTACTTCAACGACTCACATAGGCAGGCCACAAAGGATGCTGGCGTGATTGCTGGCCTCAATATGTGCTGCGGATCATCAACGAGCCAACTGCTGCTGCTATTGCCAAAGGACTGAAATATACTGAGAAAAAAATTATTTTTTTTCTTTGAAAAATAGGTTTGCCAAGTGTAATTTTCAAAAACACTTGGCAAACAGTAATTGTATGCTAAAAAATATTTTTTTCTTTGGAAAGTAGGTTTGCTGAGTGTAATTCCTAAAAACACTCGGCAAACAGTAATACTTTGTCAAGTGTATTTTGTAAAAACACTCGGCAAACCACTTTTTTTTTTGCTGAGTGTCAAATTTGACACTCCACAATAAAAAAAACACTCGACAAATAGTTGTTTGCCGACACACTCAGCAAAGACTTTGCCGAGTGGCTGTGGCACATGGCAAAGTCACTGTTTCCGGTAGCGCATGTGAGAGCACCGTAAAGCTGGGAATGGTTTGGATTGAAACCGGGTTACGTGGTTTGATTTTACCTTTGGGTCTTGTTTGGACGGGGCAATGCAGTTTGAGCACACAAACGGTTTGGTTTGGACTGATTTCAGGATTCCTACAGTTTGTAACCAATCGATAGTGCATGCTACGAGAGAATAGCTAGCTAGCTAGTCAAGAACATCTTCATTAGGTCAGAGTAGACACCACCCGCATGGCCGCATGCATCGCTCGGTACTCCATCTCGTGCTGCGGCTGTGGCACCGGCGCCGTGGAGGCCGACACATTGACGCGCACGATGTTGGATCAGGCTGCTTCAACTCTTCTTTTGTTGCGCTGCGTCAAGTGGTAACGATCCGTGATCTCCTACTCGCATATTGTTCTAGTAGAACACGGTAAAAATTTTATTTTATTCTAGCGTAGCTGCTAATAACAACAGCTTAGTACTTACTTTTCTAAGCTTAATGATTCGATCATGCCTTCTTTCATTCATAACAACAGATAAGCTGTTCCATTCACAGCTTTGTAGCAACCTGTGACAGGAGGGGAAATCTCCATCCCATCTCAGCCTCCCACTCAAAAAGTAGTATAACCAAGGGCAGAGAGCATGAAGCAAGGAAATGCTAATAATTGTAATCCGTGTGTGTTTAGAGAAATCTATTTAAGTGCCAATAATAAGAAATAGCAGGAAATTTTCAAATTTAGGCCTCGTTTATTTCAAGCTTATGCTAGCCTTTTGCAACATACACTACTGGAGACCGGCTCTTTGCCGAGTGTCAAGTGGTTTGCCGAGTGTTGTTTTTCGGGCACTCGGCAAAGACGTCTTTGCAGAGTGTTTTCTTTGACACTCGGCAAAGAAGCTCTTTGCCGAGTGTTTTTTTTGACACTCGGCAAACAAGCTTGAAGCAGTAAATTAATTCAAATGAAAAAGTTTTCAACTACAAAGTTGTATAACTCATCAAGATGTACAATGTTTGTTTTGGTCTTTTCTTCATATGAAAAAGTGAAAGTAAATTTGTTCACAAATCTAACATATCTCTCTGGTAGTTTATGAAACTACAAGAGAGATATATAAGATTTATAAATAATGTTAGAACGACCATGTCGGATGAACAGATGACCAAACAACCAAAATAAACTTTGTAGATCTCGAAAAGTTATGAAACTTTGTAATTGACAACTTTTTTATTTGAAATCATCTTGTCATGCAAAACTGTGTTTAAATTTCAAAATTTTAAAATTCGAACTTTTCAAACGACTTCGGATGGAAAAACAACCAAAATAAACTTTGTAGATCTCGAAAAGTTATGAAATATTGTAGTTGGCAACTTTTTGATTTGAAATCATCTTGTCATGCAAAACTGTGTTTGAATTTCAAAATTTTAAAATTCAAACTTTTTAAACGACCTCGGATGTAAAAACAACTAAAATAAACTTTGTAGATCTTAAAAAGTTATGAAACATTGTAGTTGGTAACTTTTTGATTTGAAATCATCTTGTCATGCAAAACTGTATTTGAATTTCAAAATTTTAAAATTCAAATTTTGTAAACGACCTCGGATGGAAAAAGTTCCTAAACTAAAAGTTTAGATCTCAAAAATTTATGAAACTTTCTAGTTTACAATTTTTTTATTTGAATTCATTTAGGGCCTCAAACAAGCAATTTACATTCGGTTTAGTATAATATATTAGGAACTAAAACGAAATCCAAACACAAATGAAAGTGTGGTGTAGTGGTAGAGGAGGTTTGCCGGCAGGGGAGGTCGCGGGTTCGATTCCCTTCGGCTGCGTTGCCGTGATTTGACGCGAAAAATTGTGGAGATGGGCGCGGGCGCTGGCCAGTGGGGGCCTCCTCCAATAAAAAAAATTCTATTTTTTTTGGTAAAAATTCCTATTTTTTCGGGTTTTTATCGGTTCCAACTTTGCCGAGTGTCGGGCACTCGGCAAAGGCTTTGCCGAGTGCCCGATAAAAAACACTCGGCAAAGTTGGCTTTGTCGTCACTTTTTTTGGCGAGTGCTGTTCGCTGAGTGTTACACTCGGCGAACCATTTGCCGAGTGTTTTGTGTCTTTTGCCGAGTGTTTCGGGCACTCGGCAAACACAGAGAGTCTGGTAGTGATAGAAGCAGGAAGTGGAAACAAATTAATTACACAAACCTTAAAAAACCACGTGTGGTGTAAATTCAACCAACATCATGGAGTATCTACGTTCCATACGGTCCTATTTGGCCGGGTTAGATCCCAAGTCATCTACTCCGAATTTGTTTTGTACAGACACTAACACAGAGACCCATCTATAACATGCTTAATCACGTATCAGCAAAGCAGAGGTTACTAGCTCAAGGCAGTACGGAAGTGCTTTTGCCATGGATGGAGAGAAATCAGTGGCAGAATCGATCACAAACCTGTTGGACAACTGATCAGGCTTGCACGGAGATCCAATTCCAAAGATGCTGCCTTCAAAACCTGAGAAGAATGGGGCTCGCTTTCATCGTGCGTTGATGCGGTGGGCATGGACTACTATGCAGTCTGTTCGCTTGGTCGTATTTGGTTTATAAGCCATGGCTGAAAGTACTGTTGACTAATTTGGTGTGAGAGAAAAATACTATTTATTAGCTTAAAACAAGCTAAAACAAGTCAAACAAGCCCAAATGAATAGGGCGATGGTATATGGAGGAGCCATCCAGGGAGGCAAATTCTGAGAGACTCTCCCCTTCCTTCTTCTAAAGAGACCTCCCTCCTTTGCTTGCACGTGGCATACACCAATCTCAAAGCAACCTGTGGGCCTTCCCATTTTATCCTAGCTAGTGACGCCGTTAGCACAGCACACGCAGGGGGCGGGCAGCTGCAGACCTGCAGACCTGCAGTTGTCTTCCAGAGAAAGCCACCGACAGAGCTAATGTCCCTTTCAGTGGAAGCTTCACAGCTGCTTCAAGATAGGCTGGAGAACCAAAATTAAAAAGAAAAGGAAGTAGAGGTCAGCAGCTTATCCATCTTCATGCTCGCCGCTAAGTCTCGACAGATCGCCGCTCGCCCCTATGTTGCCGCCAACTGTTCGTGATGATGTGGGTCATTCTTCTCTTGCCACAACTTTGAGGATGGTGGTGGAGATTTCAACTACGATGATGAGAAATCTGAAGAAATTGCTTCAGCAGATCCGGAGGTCAGTCATACATATTTCTATGAAAAAGTAATTCATAAGTAATTTGCTACAAAGGATGCTCTCGGTAGAAGTAATTATTGATATGCGATATTTGGTTTTGATGTACGTAGGGTAATGACCAAAGTCTCTCAAATGAACTTGTGCCTAACGTTGGCATGACTTTTACTTCAGAGGAAGATGCATACAGATTTTATAATGCATATGCTGGAAAAATTGGGTTCAGTATGAAGTGTCACACAAAACATAGAGCAGATGGCACATTATCTTCAAAGTACTTTGTTTGCAGTAATGAAGGTCATAAGAACATTAATCCAAAATATCAACCAAAGAAAGAACGCGCTTCAACAAGGACACGTAGCAATGCTCGTGTTCAATTCTATGTTTCACGAGAAGGAATCTCGACGAGGCAGAAAGTCATACTCCCACACAATCACAGCTTTGTAAGCCCTAACAAAGCACACATGCTTAGATCGCAGCGGCGTATGACAAAAGTGGATGAACACATAATCAGCAAAATGCGTCAAGCTGGAGTCAGACCAACTGAAATATATGTCTTTTTTCAACGGTGGTCAGGCGGCGGTGAGAATGTGCAATTCTTGAAAATGGATTGCAATAACTACTGCTGTACTGCTACATGGTCAATATATGAAAACTTAGAATACTAGTTGTTAGTCGTTAGTCCTATGGATCAAACAAGATCTTAGTTGGGTATTCAGCTGCACCAGTAGAGAATCTAGCTGTAGTCCCGGTTCTCAATCCCTTTAATTCCGGTTTTGGAATCGGGACTATGTAATCGGGACTAAAAATCTTAATTTTTAGTCCCGGTTTCTCCAACCGGGACTAGAGGTGTTTATTGGATAAAAAAAAGCGAACCTACGACCTCCCACCTCAGCTCTTGCATGCGTTACCATCTCACCTACCACCACACATCTTACTTAGATAAGATACACTTTCCTTTTAAATTTAGTTTGGAGACACCTTTAGTCCGGGTTTGAGACACAAACCGAGACTAAAGGTACCTTTAGTCTGGGTTCGTGTCTCAAACCGGGACTAAAAGTCACACTTTTAGTCCGAGTTCGTGTGTCAAACCGGGACTAAAGATTCTCGCACTGACATGCCTCTGACACACCTCGATAACAGTTACAACGGGACTAAAGGGTAGAATTAGTCCCAGTTTGTATTACAAACCGAGACTAAAGGTCCAATGCTCCCTTTAGTCACGGTTGCAATTTTTAAACCAGGACTAAATACTTTTTGGCCATGAATGAAAGATCGTTTCTCTACTAGTGCTGATAATTAGTTAAATTATTAGCTAGCCCATTTGGATCAAGGAACTAATTATTAACAACTAACTATTAGCTTTATGGATCTAAATGGGACGTAAGGATATGTTTGGATACACATAGCTATTTACTAAAAAGGACATACCCAATGCAGAGAGCTCCCGCACTGTGCGGGGTCTGGGGAAGGGTGTTA